CCATCTCCCTGCGCAACTCCTAATACAGCATGGTTATATAAATAAATATTCTTCGTAACATTCCTTTTGTAAGTGTTATTGAACATATATATATAAACAGCAGAATGAGCTGTGTTTGAAGACACGATCCTCGGGACACGTACTATTTTGATTGAATTCACAACGTTATAATAACGTTTCAATGTAAGCATCTCTACATGTGTTGAACACACGGGGATAAAGCAATACCTAAAATTGTATTCAAACACACTACCTATTTTGCAGAAATTTCTCCCCAAACACCCATACCCACAGTGCCACCTAAGCCAGTGCTCGTTCCAAATCTACGCGTTAAAATATTAGTAAGAAAGGGAATTAATTTCGTCAAATCATCTTTCTCGGCCAATACTACTCTAAATGACGTCGCGATGAGGCGGTGTTGCTAGGCGATGGTCTCATCACGGACTCCGATGTTTGTTCACTTATGTTGTACGTACATTTATGCTTTGTATGGTAATTATTAACAAAGACCTTGGTCAAGACTGGCTCGTAATTCAATAAAGATCTTCAGTTTGATGATGAAAAATTATATGGGTGTCATTATTTGTAATATATCGACACAGAGATTATAGCAAAAGCTGGTCGTCGCCGTGAAGGCTTGTATAGTATTGATTTTTTGCGACTTTTAAAATTCGTATTAAAACAAGACAACATCATAATAAGCGAATCCGTGCAGTACAGTGAAATGCGTGTGTATGCATAATTAGACGAGACCATTCAACGCGTACGTCTGGGGACGTTAGGTTCGAATGAAACATTTTTTTCTGTATAAAAGGCAATAATCCGAATGGCGTTGTACAACAAACATGGAATGAATAAATCATTTATCGTACCTCATGATCATGACAGCCAATCAGATTCGCGCATTACATTTACGTCACAATAACTTGTCAGGAGAACACGACAACAAGGCAATAAATAATTCATGAAACAGACAGTTTGTCATGCTTGCTCTCACTATTCCACAATCTTATTGACGAGAAACTAGGATTTTGTACCGTTTTCACGTAATTTTTAGTCGAGCTTGCCGTGAGTTTCACCAGTGCTCTTAGCGCTTTGAGACATTCGATCTGTGGTTGTATATATTTTCTCACGGTTTATTTGTTGCTTACCGCACCCTTATTAAAAGTGTTATGCTCTAAACAGACTAGGCTAAAATTGCACGAATCCAAACATAGTATATGTATAAATTAAATGTCGGGGAATTTCGTCCTGCCCATTCTGACATCAAAACAAAACCATTAACTTATAAAGTCCTCTCCTATGCCCCCCCCCCAATAAAAAAATGACCTGGTGTGTGAGTGAGAACAGTAGGAAAGATAGTTACCTTTAGATGTGTTTGTAACGGTCTTGAAAGCCACAAAATTCACTTCGATGGCGATATCTCCCAATAGATTACTCGCGTAGGGGATAACAATATTGACGTCAGCCGACCTTCCATCTGTCAAGTAGGCGGTACTAACCTCTTCTTCTATCGAACCACAAAGTCGTGTTGATGGATTTAATATGGTTCCACTGAGGCTATCGACGATCATAACCTCACCTTTACTGCATGAGATGTCTTCATTTTGTACTGGAAGTTGTAACTCCTCTACCCACAATGCCACCCTGTTTCCTTTCGGCAATGTGATCCTGAACGTGCAGTCGGCTTTGTTAATTATATCATATCTGTCGATGTAGAACATGAGTGATCCTGTGAGGGCGATAGTTTCCATCTCTTTGAATGATTCGGGTCTACATTCCGTTACGTTTACTGTAAGAAAAATGACACATTAATGACATTAATTAGTATAATTATAGTTTATATTTACTAAGATATTATTTTTTCTTTGTTGATTTCAAGAATGACTTCTTGTGTAGATGCGACTTTGACTTTTAGCCATGGAACGCTCATCATCGTAAAACCCCGGTCTTTTTGTGGCACCTAAAGTTTACCGTATGAAAGCTGCGTATAGAATACGTATTATTATAAATCTGTCACCGTAACGCCATAAGTTACAACGTGTCGTCATTTTGCGGTATTTTACGGGGTATTTTCATCCTACCATATTAGGAAATGCGAATTCCAAATAATAAAAACAAACATGGCTGCCACCAGGGTTTGACTGAACTCCACACAAGTTAGCTGATTCTGTTCTGTTCTGTTCCCATGATGTATCCTTGGAAGGGAAAGATGTATAATAATAGGGTTATTACGAGGATACCTCAAAGTATGCACTCAGACAGTACGCCGTCGCATCGCGTCGGTCGATACTGTAGCTTTACTGTCTTCGTGCATACTTTGATGTATCGTCGTAATAACCTCATAATATTCAGAAGTTCGGGTTGAGTATTTGCTTTCGTGATGTGCTTATACCTATTTAAATTACTGTTTTTAAACATAGGCCACGTTGGTGTATTTTGTCTAGGTATGTTTGGTGTTTATGTTTTAAACATGAGTGGGTCTCCTTTTTGTTTCTTCAGTTGGTGAGAAAGTATAAAACATTAAACGCTCCGAGACTTTTGTTCATTTGGTTTGAAAATGGCACACTATATAGATGGCGTCCTGTGTTTAATTATTTTCGTTAATAAGAAAATAATTATTAACAAAAAATTGGTCCGTAATCATATGTGATTCCAAATATGGCTCTGTATAACCAAACGCGAGATTACTCCGAGCGTGGATGATAAAGTGACATATATTTCGTATACATTATTCCTGTACCCCGTATAGACACAGAAATATTCAATCACTTTGTGCGGTTTAGCAAAGGAACTATGTGACCTTCTTCTTAACACCGCAAGGTTCATTACTGTTTTATGTACACGCTTCAGCATGCACAAATAACACCCGAACTACGTACAAAGATGTAGTTTTCAGTTGTTGGCATGGTAACATCGAAGCGTGTAAAACAAAGCAAAGTGTTACGAATTTCAATTATTTGCGGAAACAGCGGCAATAAGTAAGATAAGTAGATATAATGTTGTTTTTACATTATTACAATGTGTTAGAAAAAGATCATTAAGATCATTATTTTATCCCTATTATTATTCCACATTCGCCAGGACCAATTCCATTAATAATGCCATATATTGGACTAATAACACATAGTAATGACGTAATGTATGTCTCTAAGCCATGCACACCCAGCCAAATGATTTGCTTGTAACATCCTAACAATTAATTACAAACCACCACTTTAAGAATAGTTTTTAATAATTAAATTCTAATAGTTCAGAAATCGATATTGAATCACGGATTTCCACACCGATGCTTTTTTTCACTGTCCCGCACGGCACGCCGTCTGTTTTGATAACTACTGAAGTGCTTTTCAATTCTAATCAGGAAACTAGCAGGACTTTGATGGCTGAGCCCTAACTCAACCGTAAGGACATCATTCATTTTTAATGGCTGGCGCTTGGTGGTAAGATTTGTAAAGCGGTTTATGCACAGAATACTAGAACGTGTATAACTCGTATAGTCACAATATATATATGACATTGTATCTATTTCAAATGTCAAGGTTACTTAAATATAGTCCGTGTATTCAGTAAAAATTACTTACGTTTCCATATTTTGTAGAATTATTAAATGATATTTTGAGACACTAATGTTTTTTTTATTATATATTGTACCACATTATAAAATAAACGGAATTATATGTATTTGTTTGACAAAGTAAATCTAGATCTTTAATAACCATTTTCTATCCCAGTACGCCAACAAACTGCATGTCAGTAGTGTTTCAAATACAACATTTACGTGCTATGATGCAATCACGTGATACATGGAGGACGGCCTTGTATGACGTACTCGGACACAAATATCACGTGATTTTTTTTAATCAGGAAAAAATTGATGGATATATTTCATAGCACTGTTTGTTTGAAGAAACCTTGAACACTTCATCGTATCAACTTGGAATAAAGTTGATCGTTGATGTGACCATGAACTATCACACTGCGCTCGAAATGCTTCTGTCTTTGTAGAACAGCAAAAAATGCAAAAACGAATGAATCACTAAAATCAGAAGAGCACGTTTTTGCACCTTTTAACTTAAAATTGAGAAAAATTCCCCGGGACCTCAATTCGTTGCTTAGATATTTTCTGAAATTTCCTATGCAAAAGCAATGAACCGTTGTACTCTACTACTAAATACTAAATTCTTAAAGGGCGGTGGTCGTCGTGCCGCGTCCTGTTCGATGTGGGACTCATAGCGACGTATACAACGCGTGTAAAATACATTGTTTATTTACGTAGAAATTCGAACACGCGCTGCGCGACGACCACCGCGCTTTAAACCGCCAAGTAAACAGTATGGCAAAACATTACAACTGTATATACTTTTATTTGTATGTACCTAATCATTGCACTGCTAAAAGATAATTCTTTCTTTGCCATCCGACAAAAAGGGGTTGACCCCGGGGAGGACCATTACAAACTATGGACGGAGAGATGGCATCAAACCTTGCATGTTGCGGTTCCTGTACATATGGTTATCATCTGTCAATATGTGTTTCTGCTATCTAATGTTGTATAATTATATTCAATTCTGTAATTCGTTTCCAACATTATCCCATGCGTAGATTATCTTCCCCCAAATTACCATCTTCCAGACTTGCAAGTGAGGTTTTGCTTTGTGGATTCTATCTAATTCAATCTACGCATTTTCATCGGTTTATATCTCTATTATTAATTACAGTGTTTCACCCCCCCCCCCCCCGACCACTTTAAATCCGTGTCTGTCACGATGAAGCTGATAACAGAGTCACAGCGTTTGTGAAGTTAACGTCGTATATAGCCCATAGCTTGACGTTCAATATACGCACCGAAGCACTAATGCGAACGCATAATACTCCCCCGCGCGCAGAGCACGGCGTAATGAAGTCCCGGGGTCGTATTGGATTCCATTCGGGTAGAATTCATCTTGCTGTCCCCATTAAAACAGCATACCACGTTCGTTAATCCAGATTAGTTAATCCAGATTCGAAACCACACTAGGCTTCAGTCCGAATCTAAAAACGCGGTTTCGAACTAGATACTCATAAGCACAAGTGGGAACAGCTGAAACAACTTCGATTCTAGCCAAAGATACCTATTATTGTCTGAATGGTTCGATTCGCATGTACACATGCAACCTCGTATTGTCATATAGAATGATATCAACAAAACCGTAACAAGGATTACATATCTAATTATATGATGGTTAGTTTAGTCCCAATGTGTGTTGTTTTGCAAATTACCACGTCCCTTTACAATAATTAACCAAAGCACTGCAGCTGAATTATCTTCCTTTGCACGAAAAAAAAGTCCTTACCTGAAAATGAAATAATTCTTTTTGTTATCTAACATTAATGGATAGACGTTTTGCACCGTATCGTTTGTTATTACGTCATTTTTTTCTGTTATTGTACTTTATTTAATATTTGTTTCATTTATGTGTTAAATTACACATACAAATGTATACCAACAATTACATGAAAACAAAATGTATACAATGCGTGAATGAGATTATATATAGGTATGTCAAATTAATAACATAAATAAATAATATCAGTGAAATAAACGATAATGAACTACTAGTATATCTACAAGTTACGTAATAATGCACACATTGGAGGCCATTTTGAAATAAATTCGCACATCTATATTTTAAACGTTGTCAGATTGGTAACTGACTCACTGACTGGACAGGTGCATTTGGTCATCTCCGTTCATGCGTTACAAATCACATACAACAAACTGTTAAACAGAATCGTTTCCGAAGTCGTTGAAGTAAAAATAAAACGAAAAGTCATGAATTTTGAATGATTTCTGTATTAAATAGATGTGTAATACCTGAGTGTGCATATCCTTGGAAAATGAAGGCCACGTTGGGTAATTATTGTCGTTGATATTGCTGACAATGTTGTTTTTGAAAGCAAAGTTTATTTATTTATTTATTTATTTATTTATTTATTTATTTATTTATTTATTTATTTATTTATTTATTTATTTATTTATTTATTTATTTATTTATTTATTTATTTATTTATTTATTTATTTATTTATTTAATTTATTTATTTATAACACGAAACACATATGTTACCGCTATATTCAAAAATTACATGGTAAACATGAATTGCATAGTAAAATGTACGGATGTAATGCTCAAATATAGAAAATGAATCTAAACAATCTGTATCTAAAAATAAGAAATCCCCTTTCCCTCAAAGTCCGCCAGCTGTCTGCCCTGTCTGATATTTACGTAATATTCCAATTGATTCCAGTATTTGTATATATTAAAAATATATGTATTATCAAGTTGTTTTTCTTAAAAATTATATTTCTTGCTTTAAATGAATAATTATGACTGAAAAGAGTAAGCATGACGTCATAAAGACGACATTGTCCAACGAAGCGTAGATTCACTGTCGTACGTTAAATCTCAATGTACATACTTTCCATTTTACTGATGTGTTAATTTTGTCCATTTTGTCTCATAGGGGAAAAAATCTCCAATGTTTCCCACCTCGATAAGTCGAATGTGATTTAGGGAAATGTATGAATCAATTATAGAGTGTATAAGTGTAGTTTTGAACATCATCAGTGAGACTTGATTGGCTGTTGATGACTCATCTGTCAATTATTTGCACGCCATCGCATCATTTGCTACATTATGACAAGATAAAATAACACACGTGAACACAATACATTGGAATGTCTTAAATATCTCAAGCGGGGTTCTATGCAAAGTGCTTTATTACTGATAATGCCTGGCTATGGTCGCCAGATAATTTAATTTGTTAGTTTTGATTAAACATTTTACAATATCGATTATATTCGTTAAACTCATTAACATATTTATCCACCTACTATTATTTTTGAGATATATTTTAATACTTGTTTTTAATTGGTTATTGTCATTTATTTAATAACCTCTGTGACCGAGTTCGAAAAAAACATGTCATATTTTGTTTTAATATCACGCCACGTATTGCCCCCACGATGTCCCGGAAGACGCTCTGACTATCATGTAAAATCATTTTATTAAACTTTAGGATTTCTGGTAATATGTCGGAAAGATTGAAACTAACAACGATTGCCTGATTTCATTGGTGTATCAACTACTACAGAAAAATGGTCGTAAACATACTAACTCTGTGAACATTCTGATCTTATGTGTGTTACTATGTAAACTTTGTGAGTAAACTATTTATAAATAGTTTGCTGTTTATAAAAGACGAATATCATGTCGGTTTATTTGCTTTGCTGAGTGATCCCATCTGCTATTATATAGTACAGATTTGCGTTTATTTGATCTGTCGGAGTATATGCCACTACATTAAGACGCAGTTTGTAACCACTGCAGATAACTGACACTCACACGTACGTTATACCCAATAGTATCATAAGCTGCATAAAAATGCAGACGAACACTCTTTTTTGGGTCGATATGCCCGGGGATGTAAGTCACAAGATCAATTTTTCTATATTTAGAAGCCATATTCGACTGTTATGTTATTGGCGTTTTTTAGTAAGAAACGTGACTAAGTTCGGCACATTTGCATAATTATTTCTTCTTATCATGATTTTAGTAAATTGTATTAAAGGGCGGTAGTCGTCGCACCACGCATGGGCGAGATATATGGGTATATTTATATAAACGAAGATGGCGACTTTGGCTGTTGCGCAGATCAATGAGTACAAACTGAGACGTTACGAAGCTTTAATTAGGTATTTATTAGATGTTTAGAAGGTATCGAAGGAGTGACTGGCGGTAATTAGTGAAAGTCGCGCCCAGGTCAAATCTTATACTTGTGATTTCCATTAGAAGAGCGCATTGGATTGTGGGAACGTCAATGTTTATCAACACAAATATCGCACATGCGCGGCGCGACGACTACCGCCCTTTAAGTATTCAAATTAAGATTCGAAAAAAGTACACATACTTAATTTCGATGGGTTGTAAAATTGTCACTGTAAATTCGAAAGTATTACTAAGCACATTCTTTAGACAGTTTTCGTGTTGACACTAATATACATGTATGTAAGAAAAGTAAATGTCGCTGTTGAATTATGGGATAGGTAAATCTGTTTGTTTTGCTCAGTTTACACTAACTTAGTTATCAGTGAACTTGCGACAAATTGAACAATTATAGTATTCGCACACAGAGGCTGCTAATTCCATTTTGGACACCAGTGATTATAAATGAAAGGCTGGCAACCAAAGAATGACCAATAAATTGAAAACACTGATTTATCATTTTAAAAATGTACAATACTGGACATGCTACAAGCGAATGCGACGACGGCAACCTACTACAATGTTTTGTTCCTGGTAGACGGATGGGGCGGGGGGTATAAAAATGTATGGGTAAGCTCTCTGGTGGTTTTTAATGAAAGTTCTACATTTTACCAAAATGGGGGTTTAATTCGACAAGTGTGGAAGTTAACGTTTTGATGAAAATGTTAGGTAAAATCACGTCAAATTCACAAAAAGAGAAGTCGACATTCAACATGACCTTGAACGCAAACATATCATATCATCAATTCTGCAAAATTATTAAAAGAGGGAGTTTTTACTATTTTACACACACACCTGGAGAATAAAATCACTCAATTTCTATATTTTATTATCATATCTGCGTTAACTTAAGATACATTGACCGATGTTTCTCAAGACACCAATGGCAATATAATTTTCTCCAAATAATGCGATACCGTCATTCCTTGCTCGGAATTAAAACGGCATATGTCTGCGAGTGCTAAAACCTGACGGGTGGATTTGTATCAGACAAATCCATCATGTTAAAATGTTTACTTCAAATTACCTTACATCGTAATGAACTGTGGCGGGATTATATTGGATGTACGCAACATCTCTAGAGAAATGGCTTCATTGGAATCCCTTAGTGACTTTCACTCTAAATGTTCTCTACCGTACCCTTCAAACAACTGTCTCTTATAGCGCTTTTTTTCTGTCACTGCTCCAGTTTTCTACAAACGGTCTCCATTACTGTATGTTATTCCTCCAGATCACAATTTCGGTGAATAATCAAGCTTAAATTTTTTTTTATTAGGACCATTTTTTTTATCGAAACAATGAAATAATCAGTTCGAATCTAATTGTGAAGCATAATGCGATGAACCAACAGGGGAAATTATATCAGATCAGGTATTGACATACCGTAGATCGAAAAATCTCAACCTCACCGACTTCTCTAAATATCTCTGTCTAACTAAATACTTCGATTTCCAAGTTTCTGAATGAACGTGACGTTCAGAATGTGACGTATCTAATTACCTTCACTGGTTTTTCGAATGAAAAATAAGTCTTAAACTTACCTTCGGTGTATAGCTTTTCTATTTTCAGGGGATGCGGCTTTTTATACGCCAACGTAGACACCACGCAGTAAAGGCCCACTATGATTAGGCTGTTCCCATACATCTTTTAGCGGTATTACACTGATAAGAAATCGAAGCGAAATGGTTACCTCAGTTCGTGTACAACGGACGTCGTTAAAACGGTGTTTCAGATTTCCCTGCTTGTCGGGCCCGCGAACATGGATAATTGAACCGTAGCTATCCCATCATGCACTGCAATCATACCGCCTCGGTAGAACTCGCCGTTTTACGTTGTCAGGCAGTTTGTGAAGATCGATTGAATTATCAACATTGTTCAACATTTCTTTTTTAGAATGAAATGTTAAATGATTAAATTAAATTAATTACGGAGAGCCAATCCGTTCATATTTAATCTAATAATTACATGTTGTCCGCGCAGTTTCACAAACACCTTGCATTTATATATAATTTATATCAACATTAAAATACGAATACACAATCTCTGTTATTACGCATTTTAGAATTGTTACGCTGCGCACAGTAGGTGGGTTAAAGCTAAATAACGCATAAGAGAACACACACTGTTCCAAATAAAAACAAACCTACGCGAGTGATTTATATTTCGAGTTCATCTGCTTATATTCTCAATACTAATATTGACAGTATAATTTTAGAAAGTTACGAAAAGCAGACGGGGACCGTTGAAATGCAGTATTGGTTTTGCGTACTCCTCGTGGACTGCGTGGAGTAATCGGTATGACCTTCTGCGTACTGTCTTCGCATGACAATTGGGCGCGCTGACGTCATACACCAACCTGTCAATTCTACGCATCGTCTGCTTTCATGTCGAGGACGTTTCTTCAGATCCGCAGCTGGCCGAGACTATATTTCAGAATATTTCAAAATTCCGATTTTTTGTCAAATCACGAGGACATAAAAAACGCCGGAAATGATGTAAATATGTTTCAAACTGTCTTGAATACGGTGGATTTCAGAAAAGCTAACAGCACATCCCCTATCACCCTTTTCCAGGGATGTAACCTTTCTCGAATAGATGCTAATCCTAAACATCGAATATTCCCACCTATTTGAAAATAGATTTCTGTGCCCTACTTTCACTTAAGTTTGAACAGTGCACGTGAAATAAAAACCGTATCTGTGGTGTGTACACAGAATACTTTTATTAGCACTTCTCAAAGCCTCTGACTGCATGAGTCCCCTGAGCACAGCGCGTACTGCCGTGATTTATACGGGATTCAGATCATCATGTCAATCCAAGGGTAATCGCACACACCTGACGTTTGCATTTCGAATTCTCCACAGAGCATGTCCTTCATCCCATCACGCCCTGATGGATACATGTCAATATCACACTAGGGATGTACAATTGGTATTATAGGGTGGGTCAATATAGCCGTGATGGGAGCTGGGTTAAAACCTTTGTAAACATGGTAACCCCATACACACACGTAATTGAGAATACGCATTTCTCTTTGTGTGTATTATGATTTCATTTATTTATTTATTTTAACCATACAATCCATCCATCATGCATGACATGTTCTATGCTCAATGATCTAAATGGTTGACAGTTCGTCTGCACTCTTAAGCTATCTGAAATAAAAAGTGTTTGTATCGGAAACGCGACAGAGGTTCAACCCCCCCCCCCCCGGACATAGATAACATATGTTGAGAAGAATATAACCGCCAAAGATGCCTGTCCTCTCAGAGAATCTCTCTATCGATTCAACCTTTGACATAAAAGTACAATGGGGGACAAAATATACCAGATATATCGTGGGTTAATGGGTTTAATATTTATAGATCCTGGACTTTTTAATTTAATTTTATTCGAGATTGACCCATCCCGGGATATTCGGCGACCTTTTATTTATTGTATAACTAGACGTAGGGCATAGTATTACCCACATAGCCTATTAGGTACTGATCATTTTCTTCTATCTGGGGGCGTCGGTGAAAACGGGGGTGTATTTTTAAATACACAAACTTAAAGAGGCCATGCCATTTTCAATAAATATCTTTTGGGCAGTAGATTTTTAAAGCGCGGCGTTCGTCGCGCAGCGCGTGTTCGAATTTCATGTAAATAAACAATGTATTTTACACGCGTTGTATACGTCGCTATGAGTCCCATGTCGAACAGGACGCGGCACGACGACGCCCTTTAAGGATACAAACAAAATTGCTTCACCACCATGAACGACCATTCTACTTACTATACACTCTCTATTAATACGATAGGAACCTGGATCTGTTACCTGATATAACCTGTCGCAATAGAGCTTTAAGTACAATTGAAATAGTATAAAATATATTTTCATAACTGTTCGCAATGGAATTTTTTCAAACATACAATATAATGAATTATAAACTGGCACTACTTATTTTGAAATTAAAGGGAACCTCAATCCAAACAACATAATGACCCCTAAAGAAAAAGCTCCACAAATGTAGGAGAATGCAATTTACACTTTTTTATATCAGTTTTCATTCTCTAGATATTCAACTTTTCATCGGTATTATGTAGTCAGCCATCTTGATTCTCGAGCAAAGGATTATTGGTAAAGTATGACATCATAGAATCTGTTGTCAGAAATTGAGAAAATTATTTCATCTATAACATGAGAAATACTGATGCGAATTAGTTCAAATTTTCGTTGTGCATATTACTCATGTATATAATTATAGTAATGGAAATTGGAGATTTACAAATACACATAAAGTGAAGATTATGTTAAAAACGTTAAAAACGTTAAATCAATATTTTAGTTGTGAAATATAGAATGTCACTTTTTGGTTCCATTTTTGTGCTCAACATGTGATATATCACCTATATAACCTACTTGCATTGGTAAATTGTATACAATATAAGGAAATTTTAGCATTTGGTAGAAAAACCTAAAAATAAATATCTTCAGTTCTGTTTCCATGACAACTATTTTATAAGCATGGATGGCACCAGTACATGTATGCTACCAATTACTAAACTTTCAGCCAATTGAAGTTCAACTTTTGAAGTTATAGATGAAATCATTTTCTCAACTTCTGACAACAGATTCTGTGATGTCATACTTTACCCAAAATCCTTTGCTTGAAAATCAAGATGGCTGACTACGTAATACTGATGAAAAGTGGAATATCTAGAGAATGAAAAGTGATACAACAAAACTGTAAATTGCATTCTCCTACATTTGTGGAGCTTTTTCTTTAGGGTCATTATGTTGTATGGATTGAGGTTCCCTTTAAAATTAATGGTTTCCAACCACTTAAAGCAAGCAATGTGTGAATTGTATTGCCGACAATTTACTTATTACATGGTACGCTTCAATCTTTTCTAACGGAAGTCCGTTATTACATCACAGAATTGCTTAAGTGTAGTGCTAACTTTCTAGTTATTATTTATAACAAATTAAAAATTCAAACCCAAAATCTTATTTTATCTTATATATTCTCAATGTGATACGGTTTGAAGAGCAGGTCACAATGTATGCATGTGCATATCATTCGGGTATGTTGTTACTCTACAAGTCTACTTGCATAGTGTTTGAAATCGTAATCTACGTGACTTATTTTAGTAAGATTATTTGTTGTGCAATAGAATAAAATGTGTGCGTCAATAGATGAATTCAAAATTGTACTATATTTTCACACACTGAATTGAAATTTATTGATTCGAATTCTTACATGATGTTTATGCATTCAAGTGAATCAAAGTTGAATCAGTGTACACTTTGTTAAATCTAAATTGATGCATTTTAATTTGTACATGCTATATTTTTTGCAATGGAATAAAATGTGTGCCTCAATAAATTCAACTTTGAACTTAATATATTTACTCACTGAACTGAAAATAAATCAATGAATCAAAATTTTAAAAAACAGCAATGATGGCAGAAATTGGGGCATTATTTGAGGAGTACAAACAAGTCGTGGGGCTCACTAACTTTCAACGAGATATCGGCAGCAATTATGTCCAGGTTATATAGTTTTAGCGGTTTAGACCTGAGGCTGCAAATTGCTGTTCTACTCAGCGGGTGATGTATTTCAAACCAAGAAACAAGCGAGCGACAACACACATGTAAGGCAATTCAATTCTGCTGTGGATATTGCCTTCTAGGAGTATAACGAGTCCGGTTTTCTAAAACGACTCTCTCGTGGTCCTTGGATTCTCGATATTAACTAGTGTGTGTTTGCCGCATAGGGGAAAGGCATTTTCGTCAAGAACAGCAAGCAACATACTTATTAAATATAATGTGTGTCAACACAGTGTCAAAGGCCGCTAGGAGAAACTCAAAGTTTCGTTTACTGGTCGAATCTGTCAACCTTTGGGTTGGCCGATCACATTGAATGTTACCCAAAGAAAGGCCAAGTTTGGCAAGAACTCATCTTTGAATTCCAGTTTTATCAAATCGTTCACTTTACAGGCAAATTTGATCTTTCCTTGTTTACAAAATCACATGCCACTTTACATTGTATTCTTAGTGCAAATTATCGAAAAATCTAGTTTTTGCAGGACCTGGTCGGTAAAATATTGACCAATCTTCCCTTTTATTACGCAAAGGCTCATGGGTAGACGCTTGTTTGTAAACAATGACACGCTATGGCCATCTGACGCATGCGCAGGTGACGACTCCCCGTTTTAAGAACACTAAACGCGTAGCTCTATAAACGACACACAATTCAAATATTTTCATTATAGTTCCGGCACAGTACTTCCGGTACAGCCTGCTCACTCATTGACTATAAGATGGCTACTGCTCCACTCATGGCAACCCAGTACAGTTGCATCTAGGCATATTGGTAACCAACAGTATTTCGCCGGACAATGGAAATATTATAAGAAACTTGGCGCTTAGCATATAACATTATCTTTTTGAAAATGTTTTGTAGACCAATCACTGGGGTATTGAAAGAATTACGCCATCGGCAAATAACAAGAAATGCAATTTTAAAAGTTGTTATATAAACACAGCATGCTAATGTTCAATACACTGATCCAATTCATTTAACAAATGTGTGAATAATCATATGAGAACATACTACCCTGTTGTACCTCTATATTGCTGAGGTGACATAGTGATTGGTTGTGTCAAAGAGAACACATATTTGATAGGAGGTTCCCTTTCAAACG